TTTTTAATAAAAGGGCTGGGGATGGGCTGTGGCTCAATGGTAGAGTGCTCAACTGGCACACTAAGGCACTGGGTTTGATTCTCAGTACTACATAAAAATAAATGTACTGTGTCCATCTACAACTGAAGAAAAATATTTWWAAAAAAAAAAGGTGAGGCCTGGGGATGTAGCTCAGTGGTAGAGCTCTCCTGGGTTCAACTGCAGTACCATACCAAAAAAAAAAAAGAATTTTGAAATTTTGGGGATGTAACTCAGTGATAGAGCACTTGCCTAGCATGTGCAAGGCCCTGGTCCAAACCTCAGAATTGGGAGGGAAAAAAAAAAACAAAGAATTTGCATTTTCAGGAACTTGTTGATGTTACTGAATCGGAGGCCACAGTTTGAGGAGAGATGCTTTAATGTTTTTTGGGATTACAGATCTCTTTGAGGATATTATGAAAGCTATGTACCTTCTCTCCCAGAAAGATAGCATCATCATTCTACATGTAATTGCAAAGGGTTCATGGAACACTTTAAGCCCAAAGACCACAAAAGAAAAGGTAGTGTTAGGTTCCAAATAGATGAGAGATTCACCAGTAAGCACTATATATATATATATACACACACATTTATTTTTATTTTTATTTTTTTTATTTTTGAGAGAGAGAGAATTTTTTAATATTTATTTTTCAGTTTTTGGTGGACACAACATCTTTATTTTATTTTTATGTGGTGCTGAGGATCGAACCCAGCGCCCTGCGCATGCCAGGCAAGCACGTTACCGCTTGAGCCACATCCTCAGCCCAATGTATATATTTAAAAAAAAATTTTTTTTAATTGTCAATGGACTTTATTTATTTATATGTGGTGCTGAGAATTGAACCCAGTGTCTGACACATCCTAGGCAAGTGCTCTACTACTGAGCCACAACCCCAGTCCAAGCATAATATAAATTTGTCAACAAGCAATGAAAGAACATTTTCTAAGATTCTGTTTTCTCATTTTATCCTTGTGCAAGGGCCATGCTAATCTCTGTATTATTTTAATTTAGTATATGTGTTGAAAAAGCAGACAGTTTTTTTTTTTTTTTTTTTTTTAATTTTTTTAGGTTTTGCTGTACAGGGAATTGAACCCAGGGCCTCATGGCACTCCACCACTGAGCTACATCCCAGCTCACCCCTCCCTTCAACCCCTCACTTTTTTTTTTTTTTTTTTTTTTAGATAGGGTCTATGTCCAGGCTGGCCTCTAACTTGCAATCCTCCTGCCTCAAGTTTCTTGGTAGCTGAGATTATAGGCATGTGCTACCATGCCCAGCTTGTTTTGTGTTTTTAATTATTAGAATCTAAAAGGAGTTTTTACCAAATTCTTCTAAAAACTTGTAGACTACTGAACAAATAGATTAAAATATTTATAGAAGTAACTACTTGCCATGCAGGTTGTTGTCAGTGACTAGCCATAATGTAAGTTTTGCGTGTAAGCATAGTCTTGCTTTAGAGGAAGGCCAGTTAGAGGCTCAAGCAGGACATGGAGGGGGTCACCATGATTGGTTTATTCAGCTTTGCAGATTCAGAAACAATTTTATCAATGCCCCAGAATTAAACAGGCCCAAGGTGGACCAACTGATGTTAGTTCATATGGGGGGACAGACTTTTCCTGTGACTGAAACACTGATGGCTATAATTGTGTAATTTTATTTCAAAGTGTACTTTTTGTAGTTATTGATTTGTTTTGGGGTCAGATACATTTATTGTTAATTTAAGCTTTGTAATTACATATGTAAACTGTTTCTTGGTGTCAGAATACTTTAGAAAAGATCAGGTGACCTGTCAGACTCGGTGAGTGACATCAGTGGGATGCACCTCTGATCTTCTGAATCCATTATTGGGCTTTTAAGATTTTATTTTTTAGGGCTGGGGATGTTGCTCAAGCGGTAGCTCGCTCGCCTGGCATGCATGTGGCCCGGGTTCGATCCTCAGCACCACATACCGACAAAGATGTTGTGTCCGCCGAGAACTAAAAAATAAATATTAAAAAAAAAATTCTCTCTCTCTCTCTCTCTCTCTCTCTCTCTCTCTCTCTCTCCTCTCTCACTCT